TCGGGATCTTTGCACTGAACCGCTGCAGGCAAAGAACAAATTAAATAGAAATTAATACAACTGCCCAAAATAACCTTCTCCACAGTATGTGAGTTTATCTGTCACAGCTGAATTTACACTGTGGAAAGTGTTGAGAAAGAGTTGCGAGGGAAAAAGTAAAAACGCTTACAGACACATGTTGGAGGAGCGGGGTTAAATGTTCCATCCTCTGAACAGGATAATGATTTTGGTCCATCGAGTGTATAATCGTTGTCACAACTGAACTGTACAACTTGTTGGAAGTGATAGGATTCCTGTATTGGACTGAAAGTGCCAGCCACTACTGAATCTGGCGGACTACAATTCACCACTGCAAAATAAAAGTGATATCTATTAGAATGGAACTAGAAACGGAGTTTATATTTCGTCATGTGCCCTGTATTAACACACAGAGATTACCAACCTTCACATTCAGGCAACCTGCCATGCCACCCTTCAGCTCCACAAATGATGTTGAGACTTCTGCCAACCAATCTGTGACTAATTAGGGAATAAAAAATAAAATAAAAAAATTTGACTTCGGACAACAAATGTCAAGAAGGATCAGTGTTAGCCCTTTGATTTAGCATGACAACACTGACTGATAAGCCCTACTGAACACCCACATTGATCAGAATAACTTTTTTGATTTTGAAAACATAATGGGTGCTGACATTTTAGAGTTAGTTAGATTTCACAATTAGATTAAAAAACAAATTTTCTGAACATGAGCCATCAGATTATTACTAACCCAGGTTTGCAGGTCACCTCTAGTTTAGCGCCAAAGTCACTCCCTTCAGGGTAACCAACATGTCCATTAGCCACTTCTCCAGCATTGCCACAGCTCCTTACTGAAAAAAACACACATTGTGTCCGAATGACTCATAATCTATTCATCCAGAATGTATTTGTTGGTTGAACAATATTTACCAGAAAAACAAAACAATAATAATGCCAGTTTAAACTTGTTAAATATTGTTATTATGAATTTGAATGTAAAAATAAAGTGCCGATATTCACTCTCGCATTTCAGGTTCACAGGACTCCAACTGCCATCAGTACAAGTAATGATTGGAGACCCTCCTCTGGTTATGTAGCCAGTATCACAGGCAAAAGAAACTTTGAGCCCATTTGGGAACGTTTTCAAAAGAATGTCACTGCCCTTCAATCCCATGTTGGCTCCTCCTACTGGTGCGGAGCAGTTTTGAGCTATAAAGAAAGAGAGCGAGAGATTAACACCAGACGCGAGGACAAGATGACGTAATACTAAACACCAGTTTGTGTATAATCACACAGGATGTTATAAGATTATCCGCTCTACTCACCTTGAGCGTTAATGGCAAGGGCAAGACTGCTCAGTAGTAAGAAGTAAGCGACACTCATGGCGGGATCTGGAAAGTCTGACTGAAGTCAATGAGCTTTGTGGCAAAGACAAATAATAACTTGGTTAACATGGTTCATGCTGGCGCTGATTCCACTCAAGCCAATCACACACACGCAAGTTATCAATAACAGCGAGTTGCTTATGCTGTGTCGCCCATTTAAGAAAACGTAACGTCTAACTGCATTACAAATATTTCAATTTTAGCCAATTAGCGTGACACAGCTTATATACCTAACCTTACAGAGATAATTCACAACTTGTCTGTAGCTGCAGTTTCGACTGGCAAATTCGGCATACGTTTAAAAATGAAAGTGACAAAGATGCCACTGTAACAGCCCGTGAAACTACATCATGCATGTGGGCGGCACCGTGTCACGGCTAAACTAACGGTGTAAAAGACGAACTTTAACTTCCGTTTATGTATGATCTACGCCGAATCACCAGAGGATCCCCGGGGCACGGGGGAAACGTTAAATCGCGTTCAATTGCGTTTTTTTAATTCGCTCACTATCAACACATTCTCAAATTCAGTGGAATCGCAACGGTTCCCGTCAACACAGACTGGGTTAAGCTAACGTTATTTAGCTATCGTAACATCAACAAACGTCAACGATACATCGTTTTAGTCGCGTTTGAGCGGTGTCCCGGTTCCGTTTTCGGTTGGGTTCGTAGCACAGCTTGTTATAAACAGCGGATAATCGGATTTCACTTACCCGAGTACATGTGAAGAATCACAATGGCAGCAGCTCAACGACAATGGTGAATTTGGTTTCCGTCCTCACGGCTGCCTGACTTGACTCCTTGTCGGAAATAGGCGTGGCCTTTTAATCAGTGACGCATCATCATATCCTCAATTTCACAACCATACAGTCTATCTCTCAATGCAGTTAGCGCATGGAACTTGAATATTGACGAGACAAAGTTATGGATCACGATGTAGGATGAGTTCATGAAAACTCCCAACAATACAAACGCACTTTTATTAATGCCAATCATTTATTTACTGTTTAAAAATACTCGGTGACAATTATAAATCACACATTCACATTCAAACTCCTGAATAAAAATTGGACTAAAGTGTTAGCTCTGTCAAAATTATGCATAATGCCCCATTTCTGAATAATGCTATCACATAACTGGATTATAATTATTGATACATTGATGTGTAGTCTAAATTAATGTTTTAGGTCGAGCTGATTCACACTACTTTACAGAGTATCTTAACCGGTAATAAAGATTTTGCCCTAGCAACATATTTTGTAAAATAATATGTTAAGATGTCAAAATACTTTGACCTCTCCTGTAAACATTCGTTTCATTTGTCATTTCATTTCAATACTCATTACATGTAGTTTGAAATGTTAAAATCTGTCTAAAATCAACGCCATGAGTCATGGGGTCATGTTTCTTCTCATGGCCAGTCACAATCCGCCAATTATTTCAATGGTAACAAGGCATTCATAGAGCATGATGTAATAGACCCAACCCTGGCAGGGTCAATATGAGGAAGTGATGTACTTCCCACTTAGCTTAAGTTGTTGGCCTTTTTAGGAAATGTCCCTCTTTCACTATTATTCTCACAAAGCCCATTTCCCTTTTAAGTCACTTCCAAACTCTAAAAAATAAGACAGGACTTATGTAAGGAAGTTTTGAAAATTGAAAGTTGTATTTTTAATTATTTTGACAATGTTCCAATGTCAGTACTGACTTAGGGACCTGCAGCTTCTAGCACTGAGAATAGATGTTTCCAGACACCAGGCCACCGCCCAGTCATATATATCTCCGCCAACCCTTGGAATTTTGATCAAACCAACTAAGACAATACATTTCCGTGCCATAAAACACCTCACCGCTGAATCATTGTTTGTGCAAGAGATTCGTTTAAAATATGTGGAAAGAGGTATTTGCATTTCTTTAGATTCTGAAAAACTATCCATGTGTACATAAGGCTGCATCACTCATAGACTCTAGATGGAACCTGTAACTGGTTTACATTAACTGAAACATAATCTGCAACAACAACAAGCTTTATTTACACACACACTTTCATTGGATTGTCTCTCAAATCAATCTCATGTATCAATATAAAGCTAACATACTAGAAGTCAGTGCTACTGCATGGACTTCATTAGTTTTGATCATTGTGGAGATGAGAGCCGTGCTGTTTGTGGTCAGGATATGTGGGTTTGGCTTTCTGTTGTAAAAATTACAGGGCCTGAAACACGCCCCCTTTTCCTAACATTCTATTGTATGACAGGTTTACATGGAAGAATGGAATGGAAATAAACACTCAAACTTCCAGTAAAGCATTTGCTTTACTGGCCTCCTTACTCATCAAGAGTCATGGTCATCTTTCCTAGCTGGCATTAAAAAAGTTGTTTGCCTTTATTTAAACTATTCCATTCTAATATTATGTTATAAATACAATATTATCATAGTGACCTAGTAATTGAGCATGAACATGTGGTCAAAGATCATTCCTCTTTTTTCACCTCTTGGTAAGGCAAGCAAGGGCCTCAGATGACTTGTAAAAGTTATTATTTGTGATAAACATCATCGTTATGACCCAGACTCTTTACAAATCCTCACGTGTTATAAAAGAACCATGGTAAAAATAATAACACCACAAACCAATGTCACATGAGCTGATATGACTTATGAACGACTGCTGTAAAAATGAGGTCAATGAGCCAATTGGGGCATTGGCCTGGTACAAACTCTTCTCTTCCTTTTGGCACGTTTGTGTCTTGCTTTGGTAGCTTTGAGTACTGCGCACAAAAATATCAATATGGACACAAAAGAACCCCAACGCAGCAATGTATACCAAAACGGCACTCCTGTCCATGCCCTGTGAAAACAAAGATTTGATTGGTGACTGATTTTCACTTTGTGGATCCATTCAAAGATATATTAAAGGTGCTAAAGACACAATTCAGAGCATATTTATTGCCTCTCAGCGGCTCTCAACATAGCGTCGGCTGATTTGGCGGCTTGCAGCTAACGATGCTAAAAGTGCAAAGAGTGCAAACAACAGCAACAGCGAACAGTGTTTATCTGATTGGGATCTGGCTATATTTTTCTACAGCAAATAGTTGTTTGCTGCTATATGCTCTGAATATCGAATAGAGAACCTTTAATGAATTAATCTAAAACATATAGTGTTGTAGTCTAACCTGCTGAAAAACGGATCTTGACCAGTTTGATTGATTGGTAAAGACCTGTTTCTTGTGTTTCTTGTGTCAGAGTGGATTTTCATGGTAGCTTGCCAGGTAGTCAGAGGTGGAGTTGTGGCAGTGGTGGTGCTCATTCTGTCGTCACAGTCATAAAGGGGTTGGCCTGATGAGCAAAAATAACATTACAATGGAATTCTTTCATGAGCTTGTGCTTTGTGCAATAACAGTTTTAACAAATCAGATCCTGTCAGTCCATTCTGTAAAGCCTATATAATGTATTACAATCATATCGAAAGCCCCTTTTTGTATGATTTTGTATTGTAATTTTTGAAATAAAACAATCCCATTATAAACTAGTGCAGTGTACTGTATGTGTCATGTATGTGTCATGGGTCAGATGGGAGGTTGATTAGGGGAAGGGTTGGTATGCACTCTGTTTGCTACAGTGTCTTTTTAAATACGGCCACTAAGGATCACCAAAGTCAAACCCAGCACACTAGGGCTTTAATTCATTATATAAACAATATACAGTATAGCTAACAATAAACATTTTTAAATAATCAAAAACATAGGCTTCACAGTAACTGTTACTAATTCTTGTTTTGGCGAGAATACAGCATCACATCTGTGCTTACCCTGCATAGTAACTACATAGACACAGCTGCGGTCTGCAGGCATCAGCACCTGCACAGAGAGGACGTCACTCTCCTGACTGCTGATGTTATTACTGGCAACACAGTAATAATCGCTGTCCTTCTGTACTGTGCCACATTCTAGGTGCAAGTCTGACGAGCGGTGGAGCAAATAATCGTGGTGTGTGCGTTGGTACCAGACGTAACCAACACCTGTGCCCTTTATGCAACCACAGCGCACCGTCACTGACTTCCCCCAGCACGTTAGCCTGTCCGCCAGAGAGCTCAAGGGCTGAAGCCTCGGTTTAGATACTGGAACTGGGAAAAAAAGTAGACCGCAATATATTTGAATTCAGCTTTACATTATATAGAAATACATTTCCTGTGTTCCATGTTTCCATGTTTCTAATTATCTGGTCTCAATTTTAACTCGTCAAATACCGACGATTGGTCAGTGCCAGTAGGCATCTAATATCAACGCATTATTAACTTCCTCGCTATTTTCCTAAACCTCACCTAACCTTTTTTTGTTTTGCCTAACCTTAACTTCCCGTGGAGACAAACGTTTATTATGAAAAGAGGCTAAGCATACAACGAGTGGAAGATGACGTGTTGTTGTTGACATGTCCAAACTGACGTCAGAGGGGTACCTCACAGTTGTAGTTTAGGGCCACTGACCAAGCATCGGTATTCGAGGAGTTGGGGCGTGAGAATGTGTTTCTGATATTGTGATTCTGATTTATTCTTACCTTCAGTGATGACCACATTAAGTGATGTCATGATGTCAGCATATATTTTGTCGATCCCAACCCAGTACACTCCAGTGTCGTCAAATTGGAGATCCGTGACTTTCACAATCAGCCCTCTTCTTCTTGCATCTATTATGTGAGACCTGCGTGTGTTTTTAGTTTTACTTTCTGAATCTACCAAAATCTCACAGGTTTTTCTAGAGTTCCCTCGACACCAGTACTTTTTACTGTACAGGAATCGGGTTGTGTCGTAATTGCAGATTAGGTTGAGTTCACCTCCAATATGTGCTGTGATGTAGCTTTTATCACACTGGAGCTGAAGACTTGCTGTAAGACAAGAGTCCAATCAGAATGAAACTGCTCACAGCCACAGCAATCAGATACATAACTTGTTCCAGGCTGTTCCACAATAAAATCAACTTTCAATTTAAGGAATTTCATTGTTATTTTTTTACCCACATTTTAATATTAACCTTGTAAGCTTTGCAAAACATGTAAAACAACAATGGGTCACCCAATGTAAATTCAAAGTGCATGTGGGTTGGCATCACATATTGGTTTTCAGCTACTTTAAATGAAACTGAAAATGTCCCATATGAAATAACATTTGCACATGTAAATACTTTTTTAAGAATGACTGTATGTTGTAAGACTATAACATGATAGAATGCATATCCCAAATTCATACATATATGTACGTAAATATGGCACAGTAGTTACTCCAGTGTGACTGCTGAATATAACATGTGCCTACATAAGTGTGAAGTCTTTAATCTACTTTTCAAGTTACTAATCAAGTTTGAATTATTAATAAAAATACCGGTACCGTTACATGTTGTTGAACAGATATCTGCACAAAAAACTGCCCCCTTAAATGGAGATTATAACCTATTTCTCATTTTCCAAAAGTCATAAATAAATGAGTTTCTCTTTTGGAACTTTTAGAATAAATAAAAGGAGTATTAGTATTATTAATACAAGTTGTAAATCATAGTCCACTCACCATGAAAAAGCAAAATCAGACACAGTGTCCTCATTTTGACGTCTTAAAGTAGGAGAGTGAGATCTTAACACTCAAGAAGCTGTAGAGGTGGACTATGATGAAGTAGCTTCCTGTAGGTACATTGCAGGACATATACCTTCGCACGCTGTTATGCCCCGAACACACAAGTGACATATTGGCCACATTTACCTCAGAGTGTCATTAAAACCCCCCTTGAAACGTTGGTTTCATAAGTACATTTCTCAGAAACTGAGAAAACTGCACTTTCAATATGGCAACACACATTATAGTTTGACTTGTTCTTCCACATTTGAGATAGCCATTTAACTCAGTCACTTGTATTTAGACTGGGTTTCTACTATGTCACAAGCTGGCCGAAGGTCAGTGACAAAAACAGCAAAATTAACTTCAATCAAATGAAGTTAATTGTAAACTTAAGGTAAAATATCAATAATCATGTTTATCAGGTCAGTAATGAATACACCGTATGAAGGAGTGTAGTTTGTGATGGGTGCAAACACAACATAAAATCTTCACCAAACCATGTTGGTGGGAGGAAGAGAGAGGAGAGACATCCGAGAAGAATCCAAATAGGCTGAGTCCCAATTTACTCAGATGTAGGCAGCTTCTTGATGTCCCTCCCTACCTTGCCCACTGGCTCCTGAGCCAGGAAGTCAAATTAGACATACAGGCAACAGGCAATGATTTTGCCTATAAAATCACACAAACCACTGTGTAAATCAAAAAAAACAAAATATCTATTTGGGTTAATCTACCACAAAGCCACTAGATGTCACCATACTATTGTTGTGCAACACCTGCTGGATCCAGCATGCAATTCATTGTTGTCTGCATCATGTCAACTAAATTGCAGTTAGGCTGCCTCCTCTTACATGAACTGCATGTCAACTTCTCTGGTAAGCTGGTTCTCATTACGTAGTCCTTATCATTTTGTTACTGGTATTTTCATCTTTATAGCATTATGCTAGCAGTAAGAAAATCTTACACAGTACAAATATGTTGAATTATTATAGTTGTTTATTTTATTTATCATACTCTAATCCAGCTTGCTATAAAGGGAAGCTTTGTACACATGACTTAATGCCATTGTTCCTTGAAACGCAGCTCCTCCCTCTTTAAAGCCTAATCCTACGTAGTCAAATTAGAAACTGGTCACCCATAGACAAATGACAGTAAGTTTTACAAGAAATGGCAGTTTACGTGATAGTATTTTGTCTAGGATACTGTGCAGTGGTTTACTAAAACAAATGGCTACTGTGGACAAACAGTAGCCATGAAGACCTAGAGTCGGGTTGGCCAAACCGTTTTGATTGTGAGCCATATACAGATGTGCATGTGACATAGAAAATGTATTTACTATCAAAATAACTAATAAACCATTTGCTGTTCGACTTCACAGTAGTGTATTGGTGTGGCCACATTACAGAAAGTGTTTCTGTATCTGCTGCTCTTTAAATTTAATTTAAATGAATCAAGTGCTTTTAAAATCGAATGTGCATGGCCCAAGGTTTCGATGTTATGTCTAAATCTGTAATTAAGTAAAGTTATAACAGATGAAAATGTCCAATTCTTGGTTTCTGTTCATGGCCTAAAGGCCCACTTAAAACATTGCGATGCAAATGTAAGATGTAAATCTATAAGTTTAATATTAAGATGTAACAAATAGAACAGTCAGAAATGCCAAGAGGTTAAGACAGATATAATTACAGTTAACTTTAGTCAACATCTAGAATGTGCAATGTCCATACAGTGCAGACCATTTGCAGCTGGCACACTGACCATAGTTTAGGCCACCCCAGACCTAGAAAATGAAGTGCGTTGCTGCTAATTGCTGGCTCAGAACATCAGGATTTTCTGGATCCTCATGCAGTCTTTCTCTTAACCACTCCCTCTGCCTCCATCCCTACCCACATCCCTCCTCCACCCCTCTTGTGCTTCTGGAATGTTGTCCAACAGGCTAGACTGCCTGCATTGCACTCTCACATTGGATATTAACAGTTGTTTGTGATTGTTCATATGCAAAAATGTATGGCCCACTGTGTTTGTGTGTGTGTGTGTGTGTTTCCTCTTCTAGTCCTGCTGTCATGCAATGAAACACCCGGGTGACTTTAGGACCCAGTGAGAGACACCCAGGGGGCGCGGCAATATTTTTAATCTGACCACAGAACCTGTTAGTTTACTCTTGCTTCCTCAAAGACAGTTCACACGTTCCCTCACTGTAGTTCCTTGATGTGACAGTTGCAATAGAGAAGTGCTCTGTACAGCAGCAACAGAAGCGCCACAGCCCTGAACCCAAGCCTTGGCGACCCTAATCCATGACCCCTGGACGAGGACCGTTGTGTCCTGACATGCCTGTGAAAGGTGCCCTATCCCAGGGAGTGTGCAACCAGCCATGGAGCAGCAGGCCTGGATACTGAGGAACTTCCTGGTCCAGCTGGAGAGACAGGAGGCTGTGGACGAGCAGGCGCCTAATGGCATTGCTGGGGAGTTTATGGTGAGTCAACGGTTTGGTTTCTTTGGTTGAGGTAGCCCACTGTTGTGAAAAGTATAGATGAAGCCTCCATATAGTAGACTTATTCAATTCGTCGCTCTCGTTATCACATCACCAGAAGCCATGTCATAATAGCGATGTTTAGCGGTATTGAATGAACTGAAAGTAAGTACAACGAGAGGGAAAATTCATAGTTTTACAGAGTTCCAGAATTTCACAAAAGCGTCTTGTTCAGGGAAGTACCACGCTGCTATTGTCACGCCACATTTATGCTTCCTCTTTGCACTGATGCTTGTCATTGAAGGCGCATGGACAAGAAGGACCCATAAGCAAATACATTATAACATTAAACAACAAACAAAGATTCAATTAGTCGAATCATTTATTCATGTATCACGTTTCAGTCTTACATATAACAATGCGTGAACATTCACACAGAAGCACATACATGTATGCACAAAAAAAAACTCTTCCTCAGAAGTGGAAGGATGACATCATCAGAGGGCTGCTGCCATGGTGATGAGTGACATGCCAGTGCCTGAGGACAGCCCCCTGTGCTTCACATGTTGCTCCCAGCCCGGCCACTCTGAAGGAAGGGTTCTATTGCATCACTTCCTTTAAGAACAAAAAGCACTCTGTAGTGTTAGCGGCACAGATGGTCTGCAAGGCCTTTAGCAGACTGTTTGGAACTGGTAGAATTGGCCTCTAAACAAAAAGACCAGTGTCTCAACAAATCCTGTAAGCCTGGACTAGCCGTGACTTTAATTTGAGAATCAGACCTTTCGCACAGTAGATTCTGGATGGAAATCCTCTCAGTGTTTAAACCATCGTGTCAATTTCTAGTAAAGTGAGTCACAGATTCTGGTCATCCGGGGTTGAATCACAAAAAACTGACCATTGTGCGTTTGGTCACGTGTAACATGCCTGCTATTTGGCCCCTCTTTTTCTTGACTCTCCTGTAAGACTGAACTACTATGCAAAAAATGGTATGAATTATTTTAATTATACAAATGCACCACAACTATCATAGATTTGTGTCAGAGCAGTAAGATGGTTCCTAAATTAACTTAAGCATTGTAAGGCACACAACCACCAATACACAAAAAACAATATACTATATATATATAGTTATTGTTCAATAGAAAACATTAATTCATTAATTTGCCCGGATATGCTGCCACTCATATAACAGCATTGATTATGAGTTATTTTTAAACTTTGTTTCGCTAATCAAAAGTTGGGTAAACATAATTTAGTTGTGTTTACTGTATACTTGACTTTATCCGGTCATATAATCCCTCAACATAAACCAATGCACGTTAGATGTTACATTATATTTCATTAGAGAAGCAGTTTTCTCCCATTTGCACCCGTTATGTTTAGTCAATGAGCAGTACAGCTTATTACTATATCTTTGTGGAATCCAAAATCATGACAGTGTGAAATAGAACAGACATCAAACAAGATGCACTCTAAAAATACAACAGGTTATTAGGTACATAATACTGGGAACATTTTTATAATGCAAGGCAATCTAATACATAGTCTCAACAAGAGAGAAAATCGAGCTTCATAAAGTTAGTATTTTACCCACCAGAGCCACATTCTAAACGCAACTTGATTTATCAGCAGAGTAGAATTGCGTGGGGTGAAAAGCATGTTACTTTGTGTGATATACAGTGAGAAAAAAAAGACAGTAGTACTTTCTATGACGCCCATGTCTATAATGCATTATAAACATACTTCTAATGTGTTATAATCTGCTTATAGCACTGTGTAATTATAGTTAAAAGTAAGTCAATATTTATAATGCTATTAAACAATAGGCATAACACATTATAAAGCATTTCATAATTACTTATAAGGTCAAGTACCGTAATAGGTCATTGACTGACATTGTTTTTGCATGGATGCATTATAATCAGTGTTATAATACGTTACAATGGGATTATAAGTCACTATAAGTGGTCATTGTTTGCATTAAGTTAAGTGAAAATATCATTCAATCTTTTCAAGAACATTACACTAAATGTTGTAAAATTGTCTTACAGGTCATAAAATAAATTCAGTACTCTAATTTGACAAAACATTTTGATGATTAACAGCTGAATGATGGACACTTATAGCGACTTATAACCAGGTTATAATGTATTGTCAACCTATACATCAGGAATGTCATTACTTCACTTAGAGCACCCAACAACAAATTAGAGTAACTTATAATCACATTGCAATGCATTAAAAGATGATTATTATGTATTACAACTATGGGAATTATAATACACTATGATCCTTGAAGTATAAAGTATTATGATACTTGACTTTATAAGTCATTATACATGCTTTATAATGTGTTATAACTATTGTTATAAAGCTGCATGTATATGTATGACAATAATTATACACTGCTAAGCAGATTAAAATGCAATTATAAGTATGTTAACAATGTATTATCGGCATGGGCGTCATAGAAAGGGTTACCAAAAAGCTCTCTGACATTGTGCATTATGACTAAAATGCTGTAATTGAATGTAGGATTCTATATCTTTCCTGTTTTTCAGAGGTTGAAAAACCAGTCGATTAAGTACCGCACTGACAAGACCTACCCGACCAAGACAGCAGAAAAGCAAGAGAACAACAAGAAGAACCGATACAAAGACATCGTTCCCTGTAAGCTTTGCTCAAGGCAGATTTATGAACATAGCGGTTTGCCATTTATACCTCTGCATAATCTGCATCAGGGCAGTTCAGACAAGATATGACTAGGACTCTAAATTTATGTAGGTCCAAAAGTCATTTGACCTCCATATATTTAAACATCTGGCATACTAATGCTGAAAATGTGTGTAGATGGATCAAAGAATCATAATGGCTTACGGTATTAAGTGACATTTAGATGTAAATATATAAAAACTATTCTATGGCATGGTATGCAAATTATGTCCTAAAATAATTTATATGTGTACGATGACCTGGAATTATCCACGGTGATATTGATTAGCTAAAATGTAATAAATAATTATCTTGTGTTTTTCTAGGTTAATGTGACTAATTATGTTGACATCATATCTAATTTATTTTATAAAAAATAGTGTTTTTTCTAATATCTATAACCATTGGACGATGTGGAATATGTCCATCCAGAAAAACGTAAAAATACTAAAGATATTTTTTTCGAATTCTCTATATTCTTTTTTGCCATAAGGTTGTGAAGTACAGCGCTGTCAAATACTCCTTCGTTGTGTGACGTTGATCTTGTAACTACATATTCATCTCCTTTTAGTCGACCACACCAGAGTAAAGCTCACTCTCACCACTGCTAAAAATGACAGCGAATACATCAACGCCAGTTTCATCAAGGTAAATTAACAGTGTCCTTACAATATTCCTATAAATTGCATTTGTACATTTATGAAACTAATATGGTTTAAGCAAATGTTACTATCATCTCTTGACTATAAGTTATGTTTTGTCTGCAGGGAGTGTCAGGCTCTAGTGCCTACATTGCTACTCAGGGTCCTCTGTCTCACACAGTACTGGACTTTTTGAGGATGCTTTGGGAGTACAACATCACGGTATGACCCGCCTGTCGTCTGTGGACACAATAAGGTCTTTTCTAACACATAATGTTGCTCTCAAAACTAGGTGCTTGGTTACATAAACTGACCCTTTGATTTCCTTGGCTATAGGTTGTGATAATGGCCTGTCGAGAATTTGAGATGGGAAAGGTAACATCATTTTTTATCTACATTCCACTTTTCCTCAAAAGACTGTGTTCCATTTGCTTGTAAACCATCAGCACTGTGAGTCAGTTTACCTTCAGCTCGCTGTGGTTTTGAAAACCAGAATGCGAGGTCATTCACCATATTCATACACCAGCCGTTTTGCTGTGACCTCACGTTCAGGGTGGGAGGAAACCTCCCAGTATGAGAAACTAGTCTTAGCTAAATGACACTATTGAACATCATCACACTGAACACGAGTCCGCTTTTAGCTTAGTGGTGGTGACCTGAAGCCACTATTTGGATGTACACCTGGCGGTGGACCTAATGTCCCCCGCTCTTCTTCCGCCAGAAGCTCGTTATGGAGACTAACTAACGGTATAACGGCCTACATCTTTACATTGACAATTCTGGGTGCATGTGCGTTGTTTAAATTAAGCTTTGTTCCGTCCCAGGCTTTGTACCATTCAACCATCTGCATTCTAATGACTCTGCTAAACTCCTGACCTCAACTACACATTCGTATGTGCTCCACAGTTTACAGTAGCTCCCCCGGTCATGCTGACCTAGCAGCGTATGCACAAAGGACATCTTGTTCCTTTGGGACACAGTGCGGGCAACACTGTTACAAGGCCTCTTCGTGAACTTACATGATTTTATGAGCGTGAAGTACATGAAAAGCGTGACTATTCATAGCTTTATGAATGTGCGACTGTGACGATACGTGAACTAATTCTAACCCAAAGGAACATGATTGCAGGATTATAAAGATACATGAACAAACATATGAACTAAACTTTAAGCAAGGAATATAATTGTACATACATACAAAGCCATGTCTGTTGTGTTTTTAAAACAGTTTCAAACTGTGTGAAAGGTAAAATGTGAAAAACACTGTGCTTTCTGTACTCTTTTTATAGAAAAAGTGTGAGCGCTACTGGCCACAGAAACAAGAGCAGCCATTTTTGTGTGAGCCTTTCACAGTTTACTGTGTGAGTATTGTTTTTATTCTCGTAGTCACACTTCCTACTTTGGCGGGTTTCTGTAGAAGTGTTCCACAACATGTTGCCATTGTAATCTCACACTATCTTCATACAACATGTGTCGTACAACAATGATAATGCTATTATTAATAAAATACAAAAATTGATGCACCCTTTTTTAAACAGAAAGAATAAATATTGACCTTGAAGATGCATTGCTGACTCATTACAGGATTCTGAGGAAAACAAAGGAGATTATATGACAAGGATGTTGAGGGTGACTTATCGCAACGTAAGTAGTGTTTGTACTGTACCCTGACTGTAAGAATAACGGTAATTCTCCTGAGACAAGCAAGAGATTAGCAGATTAATTTGTTGTTTGCTGCAAAGACAAGCGGAAGTTGTTGAAATGACCCATGTAGTCATATTTGACATCTTTGAGGAAGGATCTACTAACGTTTACGAAAATCATTTATGTACATATTCAGCTTTCACAATGACACAGTTGCAAAAAAAAAACACGTAAACATGTTTTGTGCTTTGTAAAGAAGCTTACATTGTGGTCTACAATGTCGGCAATGCCTTTATTTTTTGCAGTGTAGCCGAACTCTGAAACAGCTGCACTATTTCAACTGGCCAGATCACGGTGTACCAGACTCCATCCCTCCCATTCTGGACATGTTGCACGAGATGCGATCCTATCAAGCCCATGACGATGTCCCCTTTTGCATCCACTGCAGGTCAGGCTTCTCTATGGAATTCAATTCTACTTAATCTCCTTAAGACAAACTATCTTGATCCATCTATTATGAATATTTTTAGGCCTGTTGGGGTCTGTTTGCAGTTGATAAACAAATAAATAGCTATTTTAGTTATGATAAAATCCACAACAAATATCAATCGTGCAATCCGCAATAATGAAAGCATCTAGTTGGTATTTCTGGAAAGGTCCTTGTCAGGTTCTACACTGATTTAAGTTTTTCAGCTTTTGGTAAACATGCTTCAAATACTTTCTATACATTCTGTATGGTGTTCCACTGGGCTGCACACTGTTCATGCTCCCACTAGTCCAAGTTAATTAAACAACATAGCTATGCGGAAAAAACACAACGGTCTCAATGGTTGGATGCAAAAAGCTTGGTATCATTAGTGTCATTATGACTTAAATTTAAGAAAGCATTCTCTGTCAGTAAGACCACATTTTTCAACCTTAGAATTTAGTAAGTAGACCATATCTGATGCAAAGAGATTCATGCGTTGGTCTTCTCTAATCTTTACTATTGCAGATGTTCTTTTAACTGGGCTTCCCAAGTAATCAGTGAACTGATGTCACGGCATCTTTGACAGGCTCCCTGTCTCCTTCACGGCTCTGAATGATTTAGCACCTCAACACTCAGTCGACTGTGTCTGCCTCTACACTCTTAAGACGTATGGAGCATTAAAACAGCATTAAATCAATATTGAACAACTTATATAAATTTCATAAAGACAAACAAAACAAAAACATTTTAAGACTTTTTGAAAATTGGAATAGTTGTTATGATATTATGATGGACAGGGCTTGTTTTATTGCAGGCAAACAGTGATCACACATTTAGTTTTCATAGAGTAGTTACTATGGGAACGTATTTCCTGTGGGCAGAATGTGTATGTCCCCTACTTTAGGCCTTAGAGGTTAGGCCCCTCCTCCCTTGTCTTTGAAACAGGAATTGTGTGTAGGCGGTTAGCCAACGGCCTACTAGGTTTTAAAGTGTATGTGTGCATTTCCCCTCAGTTTTTCCAGCCCTTACACTTCGGCTGATTTAAAACCCACATCCACCTTTTTACTGAAACTTACACAGTCTTGTGACTTGTATCAATCCACACAAGCATCTGCATGTGTGTGTTCTGTGCTTGGTTAAACAGCTGCAGTGTGAAGCCTTATGAGAAATAGTCCGTTAAAGTACATTTTTTTTGTTTTCTTTGTGATGACTAATTAGCTAATTTTGCTGTATATTTTGACTAGTTATTGATATAAATACTGTAAATGCGATCTGAAAAAGTGCCCACACCTTTTGAGGATGATGTGTCAGAAATGGAATGTTGAGTAAGTGACTGATGCAACCTACATACCAGGAAATCACCCCACTTCTGAGTGACATCATTACTAGACAGCTGTCAAAAGTGCAAAACGTGAATTTGTTCCTCAACAGCCAAAGAAAAAAGAACGTAATATCACAAATGTTTTACTTACCAATTTGAGGGTCCTGAGCTGAGTGGTTAAAATGTGACTCTTTGCTGCTGTTTTTGTAGTGCTGGCTGTGGTAGGACAGGTGTCCTTTGTGTCATTGATTATACCTGGAACCTCCTGAAGAAACAGGTGAGAAATACCTGCAGTTCCTCAATACATTTTGCACATTATCCATCTAAAGTAAGATTCATTTAACAGTAAAGATTCAAGCTGGATTGTGCTGTTTGTGTGCTTGTTTTTAGATGATCACTCCAGATTTCAATATCTATGACTTGGTTCAAGATATGAGAACCCAGAGGCCCTCAGTGGTTCAAACCAAGGTAGTTTTTTTTTTTAAACAAAGCATCACTTGTTACAAATCTTCCAACTGGCAGAACCAGACTTCAGGAAATTCTTTATGTCAGTTGCTTCCTCCCATCAAAGATCTTTTGATGATTTGTGTTTTGTGTGTAATGCCCCGGGGCTGTGTCACCTAACAGAGCAGGTTTTTGTTGTTTAACCTCAGGAGCAATATGAGCTGGTGTATAGAACCATCAAGTTGCTGTTTGAGAGATATCTGCAGTCCTTGGAGGCACAGACCTGCAGAAATAAGGTGAGCGATCAACAACACTCCCTTGTGAATGAGGCAGACATAAAAATACAATGGAAATATATAATACTGGCTCCACCACCGCCAATCGACAAGCACAACCATCCTGATCAGCAAGGCAGAAACAGCAGCTGCGCTGTGGCAGGCTCTCTTGTGGTTTCAGTAGCAATGATGCAGAATGCAGTCATGTGATCGGACAGGAAAGTCAGTCATTTGCAGACAAATAAACTATGAAGGTTGTGTCAATAACACTTCTGCTTTACTTGAAGTTAAACACAAGTAGTTAGTGATTTGTTTGTGAAGTGTAAGACCTCTGCATAATATTGCATACTTCATAATACTACATGTATTGCCAAGCATGAATGCATGCACATGCAAATTGTCTTTATTTATCAAAAGCTGTTGCTGCTGCTGTGACTCACTCATCTGTTCAAACTGGCCAGGTGACAACGGCCCCATCTTCCATCACGACTGACACTGAAAGCGAGCTCTCTGACCTGAGTGAGGAGTTGGATTTGCGGCCACAATTCCAGCACCTTCTTGATGAGGAGAGGGATGTTTTGCAACAGTACCACACTCCCTTGCCTTCCGCTTCAGAAAACCACATTGCCTTGAGAGCCAAGGACTTGCCGAGGGATCAGGAACAATGGCACCTACTCCGAACGCTTCCTGAGGCCCCGACCATCCAGGACCCGCAGGAGGGACCTAAGATCCCCGTAACACAGGCGCATACCAGCCAGAGAGCCCCTGCAGAAGAGGAGAGGATAAAGGAAAGCGATGACATACCATCACTGAACCCTTCACCTTCACCGGCTGTGGCAGCAGCCATTTGTCTGATGGTGGAAGACCCTTACTTTGACATACCAATGAGCTCCCCTTCATCAGAGGAAGCACCAATGGACTTGACTAAAGACGCCAAACAATGGACAGATAGCCTCATCTTCAGCACGCCCTCCCTGTGTCTGAATGACCAGACTCTGGAGCTTAACTCTCCTGCCTCAGGTAAATGGTCATATTTGTGCATGTTAGTCCGGACTACAGAGACAACAGGGTAGCGGAATTCAATGTTGTAGATATTTGCATTAACTGATGTGCATTTTGCAGGTACTGTTGAAGTTCGTAGAGATGAGGAGGTACCTCCTCCCCTACCTCAACGAACCCCTGAATCCTATGTAATAGCTGTGGATGCAGGTTGGTGTTCTCAGTGTAGATTAAAAACAAAATCTGGAATATAAATCATTAGTTTCTTTGAAGCTTATACTCTGTACATATATCCTGGACTTTAGAGGATGGGATATATAACATGTTATGGTTTTTGTTTTTCAGAGCACCCAGATCCCTGTGAAAGGTTAACGCTCATCATTCCACCCAATGCTGCTGCTGAGGCTGTCAGGGAGTTGGGAAGTGAGAAAATATCTGAAACTCCTAAATATGTTCTTTGGGAACACTCAATTACGCTTTACTTCTAGTGCCTCATCTCTGAAGATGACTGATCCCATTATTTGTAATGCAATTGTTTTGTTTAAACGTGGAGTGACTCTTCGATGTTGAAATGCGGAGTAAAATATCCAAAACAAACGATGATATATCTTTCCAGGCAGCCCCCCCTCCCCTGCCCCCGCACTTCCTGAGAGGACCCCAGAATCATTTGAGTTGCCACTTGATCAAGGTGACTTCACAATATCATGAATCACAATCAACAGTAATCATTCTGAATATAAGTTTAACTTCAAAATGTAATAGTTAAATTGATTATTCTTGGTTATCTTTCAGCCCCCGTGAAGCTGAAGTCAGAGGTCAAGCCGGCAGTGAAGCTGAACAGAATAGGAATGTCTTCAGAATGGTCTGGTGACTCAGTGCCAGCTGCCTCTGCATCTCAGAGTGAAACGAAACCATGGGTGAGGAGTAAGGTAAGGATAAAGTCTCTTCGCCGGAAAGTGTGACTTTCCATAAGTGAGTGCCATGAGGGTTTGTGAGATGATGAGGTATATGCATATTCACATTATTTGAGCACATAATGAAGTCAGCATCTGTTTGACAGACACCTCTGGCCAATGGAGAATGTGGATGATACATGTGTCACCCAAACCATACATTGTAAAGTGGTGGCTCAAATAAAAGGAGATTCAAACCTCTTTCACTACCATGAAGTTTACACTTGAACTGATGGGTTGCTGAAATCATCCTTGTACAAATAATGTAATATTTAAATATTACGAGCATTTAAAATGTCAGTTATGTAACAGCAACATTCTTCTCTTTCTTGTAGAGTCTGAAAGTAAAGATGACCTTCACAGGTAAGATATTTATTACACGCAGGGCAAATATGTATACGCACGCACTGGCTAAAAATAAAGGCACCTGACAAATTATTGAGAGGGATTCAACATTTCACATTATATCTGCCAGTTAATATGAAATTACTACACGTTTGTTTTGATTTAAACAGTATTTTCTTGTGATATCTACAGTTCCAGAAACACATCCTGATCTTCCATCAAATATAACTTCAAACCTCCACCCTCACTGTCCACCTCAGGAACCACCGACTCCTCCGCTGCTTCCTCAAAGTAAACTCACCACACTGAATGAAAAATTCGCAAACATTACTGTCTATGTTATAACATCATAACATACAAACCCACACAAAGAGAAAATAAAGGAATTCCTTGTTATTTAATAAGAAGTCTTTTATCTTTGGTTGTGCAGCTGAGGAGAGCCTGAATCCTCTACTTCCTGACAGAACCCCCGAGTCCTTCATCCTCACCACAGAAGAGAGTGTGTATATCATTGCCTCCGTGCAACAGAGAGACACAATTAGGCTCATGCTGCAGTACTTGTTGTCTAAGTGACATGCTCTTTTCCAACAGTTCACGAGAAAACCGCACTCTTCCCGCAGCCCTCAACGTGGCCCTTACCGAGGGTAGGCTTCTCATCTGAGTGGGATGGCACCGCTCAGTCTAAGAAATTCCTCAACGTTGTTATGAGCCGGAGCAAGGTAATGACTATCATACAAGTCAAAAAACTGGGGGTTACAGTTGCTTGTCAGCACACTAAATAGTGACACGCACCGACTCATTTTCCTTTACCAATCTCAGTGCTTTTCCATTCAGTAATTAATGTCAGAAGCTTCCATTTTATAGGACATTAACATATTTGCTCTCATTTTTTCCCCCCCAGAGTGTTCGAGCTAAAAGTTCCAGACAAGGTAAGCTATTTGATGTCATGGATGAAGACTCCTTCCTCTTGTGCTCTCATTCTACCTGACCTGGCGGGTAAAAGACAGCAATATTCCAAATGTGTCTGCTAAACAGCTGGGCACTGTAGGTTTGATCAAATATTTCTCAAACAGGAGTAAATGGTATATTTGTTGGGGACTATTTTCAGTTAGAGTTATGCTATGTTCACAACAAAAGCAACAGAACCGCCAAGTGTGGCCAGCTACATTGTCTGCAAGTGGCAGCTGAAGTGTTGCTCAAGCGCTTGTTGGCGTAGTTATGTTGTTAAAGAGTACTGGGAGCTGGCTGATGGTGCTTCATCATGTCATTGGAATGCTGAAAAAAAGTTGAGACCATTCCGACTTTGATTTGTAGCGTGTCACACCCGTCGCTTGTGGCTGCATGTCACTTGGCTTCTATGGAAAACGACTTGTAGCCTGTTGCTGTGTCGCCGGTACTGTGAACACAGCATTAAGGTGGAACACAACCTAAATTAAGAATTCCAACATGTTATTTTCATGTCCTAGAGAAGTTCAATCAATATTTGTGAACATGAACTACTCTCTCTCAAAGCCAGAAACCAGAGAAGTAAGTCTCTAACATGTGATGTCATCCAGGGGCAGAGCCATGAGGCTTCTGGGGCTTCAGTCCCCAATGTTTTGTCAAAAGTAGTACTCCAGCATAGTACAACAAAAATAAGATTAGTAATGCTGTTTACGCGAAAATCCTACCCAACATATGTAGGCCTATGTTATTTGTCTTAAAAACAGTAACATCAGACATTTTCTTTTTTGTACTGCGGCAGGGGTGAAAATGTAGTCATCCTCCAACACTTGTGTTAAGGTTATAAAGGATGATTTTTTTTCCCTTGGCAACTGTCAGGTTTTTCCAAGTGATGTACAGATAATTAGGCATTGTATTATCTTAAATGGCTTGAAAAATATTGCATATAGCTGCAGTAACTGGGGCCGGGGCTTCCTCACCCCCCTCTTTTTTGTATACCCAAATGAGCTTTAAGATATTGTGGTGTACTCAGTTCTGAAACAGAAAATGTGCCCATATACCCAGAACATTCCCCTGGGTGCTCTCAGTGTCATCTATAACATCTTTCCCAATGCATTGTCTATGAAGCAGGTCCAGACTATACTTACTATATGACATCACCCATTTGAGTTTCAGCACTCTAGTTCAGGGATTTTGGAGAGAGTTGTTCATGTTTACTAACATTTCTGTACTATTTTAGACCATAGGAATAATCTGAATTTTGAAAATGGCCGCACTTCCCCTTTAACAGCAGCAGGACGGTGCATGGGTTCGACTCAATATAAAGTGCTCATGTTCATCATAATGACAGAAATATTTACAAGCTTTTAGACAACAATGGAGGTTTATTCTATTATAATTTGGGCACACAGATAATACTGAGTGGGATCCATTCATTTGTTTAAGGTTGAAGTTGGTATTGAGAGGAACCTATCTTCCACCACCGGGAGGCATCCTTTACCAAAAACAAGAGATGAAAGCTTGACTGGGAAAATGCCATGTTAGTTGTTGTCTTGTTCATGATTAATCTAAAACATTGTGTCTGTATGAGGGACAGTTTATCATTGTGTTTCCACTGCAGAGCCCCTTACTGCGGTTCGGCAGCTTGCTCCACCTCCTGTGGTCGTGGCTGGAGCAGGAAGTGGTGAGTTGCTTCAGATAGAGGGGCTGAACAATACACTGCAGCCTCTCTCACACACACACTCTTATTATTAGACATTTACTTGTTATTAGATACACGTATCCAACATTCTGTCATATAAAACAATTGTTCAAGGATCGACAACACAGGTGGTCTTTCTCACAAATCCATTATGTAGTGAGTGCATGGGGGGGGTCACCATCCGGGCAGTTTCAAAATGCAGCAAATCATTTTATTCCCTTTCTGTTTCTGTGTTCTTTAGCGCAAGTGGGGCAGCATGATGTGAACCGCAGGCCCTCTCTGAAGACTGAGACATCAGGAAACAAATCAGACAAAAGCAACGAGAAGGACCTGTCTCGATCAAGGGTAACACAAGAGCTGCACGCAGCTAGTTAAAAAGAACATTTTTAGATGTAGCAAATTAAATCTATGTTTTTGTCTCCTTTGTCCCAGAGTCTGAAGTTTTTTAGACACAAACAAAAACGTAAGTGTTTATTTAACTGTTAGCTCAATAAATGAACTGATGTTTATAGGAAAAGTAGGATTAACACGTTTTAAAACTATATTCTCAGCTAAAACTGACCCTTCACCGGCTCCCAGCCAACCTGGAACACAACCTCCAGCACATGGCGCTTCATCTTCAGTGTTCAAATTTGGTAGGATATGATATTATACAATAAAGATATTATACAATGTTACATACAATTTTTTTTGTGACACCATCTTCACCTTCCACAGGATTTGGGAACCGTTTTGGAAAGCCAAAAGGCCCCAGGAGTTATCCAGAGACCTGGGTTTGATATTTAGAGTCAGCCATCTCTAAATATCCAAGCTGGACCTGTTCTTGTAATGGTGATCAACATAATCCATTGCACCGCTATAGGACTCGTATGCAGTGGACCTGAAACGCACTTCTCTTCTCTCGCACAGCACAGTAGCACCCTCAGCAGCAGAGAACAGGAAGTACCTCGTTACCAGCTCTGATGCACTTTGTACAGGATGTCAACTAAGGTTGATTTTTAATCTGTGAGCATCGCTCACTGAACAACACGGACAGCAAACGATGACTTTAATGTTGACTCAAAAACTCAGGCGATAGAATAATTTGCTTGGGCAGTCTGCAGTGAGAAGTTTGACACTTCTTGTTTTAATGCTTAAAGCAACGCTGTTATACTAAAACATATTTCGTTATGTGTGTGCATTTGTGCTTTTGGAATGAAATGTGAAAACCGGTATGACTTTGCATCTACTTCATCACTTTTTCTATTATAAAGACAAAAAACTAAACATCATTCAGTGTACAATGCGTGTCATTTAGTTTTTCTGCCATAATTAACACGTCCATCTTTAGTTTATAAATTAATTTTAAAGGATTGTCAACTTGTCAAAAGGTACAGTGAATGTGATGTATACCGACTATGCATATGATGTACCTGTACAGTTAAACAGTGTTATACACACTGGTTACACACAAAATTATTTATTAAAAATATAGAAAGTCTCTGCACTCTTATTGTGTTTTCTCTACTGTCTGTAACTGATCACCCAGGAAACTGACAACACTGATTCAAAATGCCTCAGTACAAACATCAACAACATCAATCACTGGTGCTAGAACACAGCGCCACAACAGGTACAAAGGTATCGTAACTTATTCCTACATTGAGCTAGTAAGACAAACATATTTCTGACAAACTAAAACAATAACTGAACAGGATCTCGTAGGCATGACACTATGACTTAGTAATTGTATCTCTCAGGTAACGTTCAGATAAAAAGCATCACGTGAGCAATATTTGTAATAAATAAAAAAACTAAACAAGATGCACTACGGCATCAATAAATAACCCTCACAGTTTTAGCTGAGGCAAAGCATACACAGTACAAGGCACTAAAACATAGCCAGTGGTAGAGCACAGGCAGTATCACAACATCACTTCCTGTATAGTAGATAAAAGGACTCGGAGGTTCAGATGAACTGTGAATCTGATCAGAAACTTTGGGTGACAATGTTTAACGTTATTTTTAGGACAGTTCAGTCTTTGATCATTTTGATACAGGACTCATTATTTCCACCTATAAGAAAAAAACAGGCATTCACAATATAAATCCCCACAATAACACTCGAACCCTACCACAGGAACCCTCTACAATGGTCCTCATCACCCGCGTGACAAAACCAGCTCAAAACTAAAAGGTGAGAGTGAATTTATATCAAATGAATCCCCATGTTCCCAGCTATAACAACAACAACATAATATATACATACCAAATTCTGATGACATACTCCACACCTGAAGAAACAATTCAGACAATTATTGCTAAGTGCAATCATTTAGAGGTGCTCCTATACTTAGATAATAATCTTAAATATCCAGCACTGGTTATTCACCTGTGTTCATATAATGAAATATCTTAAATAGTAGCAACAGTAAGAAAATGGGGCATTGTATAAAATGTTTTTTTAAATAAAGAAATTGCCCAAACCGCTACTTAAGAAAAAAAAAAAAGTGGTAAGTGCTAGAAGATGAATTGGATAATTATAATTCTCAACTCAAAGAAAAATGTATCTTCTTTTATTTAAAAGAGACATTTGAAACCAAAGACTCATTCAGATTTTCCTTTGTTTACTGGCTGTAACCAATCCAGGAAATCAAAAGTGTGGCGAGCTTTTGATTCAAATGGCAAAGGCCCAGCTTTACAGACAACATCCTCAATCTCTGAAACTACACGTACCTTCTGGGTAAGGTCAGTCTATATGCACTTTGTCACTGAAATGAATAAAACAGTATCATGACGATATCATGCGTCGAGAGTAATCATATCGTATATATGTAAACAACGACTCCACCTGCCGCAGACTTTCCAGCTTCGATGAAGTAATTCTCTGAAAAGAAGAAACAGCGGCGCCTTCAACATAGATTAAACGTCGCACAGTAAGAGTTGGCAACTCATAGTTGTTCATGTAAAGAACAGTTTCTTTACATGATACACACAGCTTGAATGAGACAGTAGAGCGTTCCAGTTTAAGTGCTAAAAATGTTACACAGTCCCATCGAATCCCTTTGGCTGAAAAACATATTGGAACATTTCATGAACATTTAAGGATACAGAAAAGAGTGTGAAGAATAATTTAAAGGCTTCCTGATTGACGCAGGCGTCAGATTTAGTCAACGCTTCTTTCAGGTTCACTCTTACCCCGGTGGGAAGAGAGAGATTGTGGGGTCATTTAGGGAACGCTGTTGTGTGGACGAGAGCTGGATGGGCCCTTTTGAAGGTGTACAACCAGGGTGGACTTTTTTCGAGAAAAGGTGGGGATCTCGGTATGTTGGGGGCACGTGAGCAGATTTGGTGGGCTGTGGAGGGGCTGGCTGAGGCTCCCGGGGAGGTGTTGCCGGCCTCTGGAACTCTAGTTCTTCAGTCTTGGCCACGCCACCTTGAATGTTGTCCGCCTGTGGCCGTGCACAGGGGGCTACGGTGGCGTCAGGCCTGGCAGGGGAGGCAAAAGAGAATCGCCCAAAGGTGGAGCTGAGATCATTGGGCCGCCTCTCCTCCTCCTTGCCCTTGCCCTCTGGATGGTACTGTTTGAGGCGGATGTGCCACGCCAGGCTGCAGACTGCAGACACGGTCTTAAACTGGTGGATGACATTCCTTGGGATGAAGTAAATGTCGTCGTCACAGAGCTGGACACGGACGTAGCGGATGCCCTCCCTCCTCAGCTGGTTGAGCTTGGCATCGTCTACCCACTGGACACACTGCATGAAAACAATACAGTGGTTTCATGCTTAACATTTTAGAAACAAAGAGATAGATCCTAATGGATTATTTATGTAAAATACCAGTTCCTCACCTGAGACACTGGGGGCTCATACAGATCCAGCTGCAGCCTGTGGACAACTTCATTGAAGTCCCCAGCTTGGAAACACACCACGTCTTTGGTTATTCGAGGTTGGTTATTCCTATAACAGATTGCACAAAAGCATAAAACACACAGACATATTGCATTCTCCTTCCTCATTACATATGATGTCAATGCAAACATTTAAAAAAGGTAGGGTTGGTAATATTCTTCCAAAATATTTTTTGTTATATTTCTTGAAATTCTCTTGACATCCCGACAGTGGCATTGGGAGGGACGTCAGTGCTGCCAACTTGGCTACTTTCTCGCTAGATTTAGCAACATTTAGCAGCTAGTGCTGCGAGCTACTTTCATTGGTAAAGAGACACTGGGCGGGATTTTTCGTTTGGATAATAAATAAAAAAAATCTCCAGCTAACTCATGCCAGTTTCTCAAGAACACCAGCTCGAGCTTCATTGACTTTAAAAGATGCTCACCATCCTCCAAACTGCACAGCTTTCAGAACCCCCACAGCAGCAGTGCTCTGCCAGTCAAAGCTCTGGCCTACATGGTCAGCATGGGCCTTAGTCCGGTCCTCAAACAGAACCTCTCTGGGTTCACTGGCCCTCGGCAGGTAGTGCAGATTTTTGATCTCATTCATGGACCTAGACAAAAAGATGAGAGGATGGGAGAGGATAGGGACAGAACAAAAATACTTTCACAATCTAAACTCATAATCACAACAGTTTTTCCCCTGTATTTCACATCGTATGGATATGGAACCGTGTTTGTATATTTCCCTTGCAGCTGGAGCGGTACCTGCGTCTTTTGAACGGAGACTTGGGCATGTCGGCAGTGGGCACCATTTGTTCTCCTGGTCGCACCCACATGATGGGCCCATCGTCACTTTGAGAGCGACAGTCCAGCTTCAGACTGGAGAGGCTTCCCCACGGGAGGGTCATCTGTGGTGACGCACACACAGACAGACGTTTGTGTGAGTCAAACAGTATGTTGGTGACACAAATGAAAAATGACAGGCCACCTTATACAAATAAAACACTAAATACCTTACGTGATTACGGACTATGAGTCAAAGTCCTCCAATCAGGTGGCAGGCAGAGCAAAAACAATGGGCCTCATGCAAGAACCACTCGTACAAAAATGTTCTTGCATGAGGCCCATTGTTGCTCAGACTGCCAAAGCATGGTATAGTACATAAGGCTGAGTACAAATCACCCCCCCCCCCTCCACCCCCCCACCACTATGCTCCTTAGAATATTTATAAAAAATAAATATAAAAACAAATCTTCCTCTGTTGGACCTTGAGAAAGGGCGACTCCTCCAGCATGTCAAGGAACTCTGGGAAATAGTCTCCAACTTCCTCGTCTACAGCTCCCACCAAGCTGATCTGCCTCATGGGTCCAGACCGGTATGTTCCTGAGCAGTAAGTCCGGCTCACCTAGGACAGGAGAAACAGGTTATGTCTTTCAGTGTGTGCCCTTCGATCCTACACACTAATTGTATCCATACTATATTGTGTACCGTATACTTTACATTCCGCTTTTCCAGTTAGTATACATAAAAGATATATGTATGTATCATAACTACACAACACTCACTTCCTTGGTATTGTCATCACTGCTTAGAGTAAACAGTAAAATATTACGTTTTAACTTATATAATCTTTTAAACTAGAGGTAGAGTTTGCACTCAGGCCACAGGGGAGTGGCTTTAACGAAGCTACAGCAGCTTAACAGACCCTTGTAATTCTGTACAGTTACACTGATGGCATACCTTACATGCTAATGATTGTGTCGAGGAGATACACTGCAGACCACCGCCTGTGATTTTTATACTAATATTGGTTAATTTCTTTTTACAAATTGGCTCTCACTGTGCCTTCTGCTGCAGATCTAACATTACACATGTTGACATCCTGACTCACTCGTTCTCCTCTGACGTCTTCCTCAGGCAGCGAGGGAAGATATAATCCTGCATCCAAAGCGACTACATTAGATCTCTGTATAAACAGGGAACACTTGGCACAGGTTTTTAAGACCGAACGACGGTGCCCTTTGGATTGAGTCTACTGGGTGGCAAACATGTTCTTGAACGTATTTTTATGCCCCACAGACACTGCAGTCAGCTCTTTTATACAGGTATTCAGATCCATATTACTTGAGTTCAGAGTTCCTCTTCAAAAAGGTCTCTCACAATGCAGCATGAGGTCTGACTGTAACCGGCTACAACCATGCCATGCCACAATGGGTTTAATACGTTATACTTTTTATACGCGAGCATTCTATTCTACTTCACTCTTGTTTTGTCTACCATCAAATTTTGATAATTCATTCAGCATTTTAGGTCATTTTAAAAAGCTTTGTAAGAAGGTTTTCTAGCTCCAATTTCTGAAAATTGCTGATTTTCTTAGATTTATAATGGAAAGTTTTTGTCGTTTAAGACTGCTGGCTGGACAAAAAGGAGCATGACATTTCTTCGCTATTTTCTCACATGCTAAAGACAATCATATTAATTCATACCAAATTAAAAAAAGGAAACTGGCTGATTGAGCTGATCCACAACACCACCACCATGACTCTCATCAGAAGATATGATCTATGAGTTTGGTTGTGATAAAAGTGCAGTTGTTTCGTACAAACGCCTCTTCCCCTTTTTCACATACCTGAGAGTGAAAGTTGGCAATAGTGGTGGTCTCAATGTCTTTCTTGCCCAGTATCTCCATTTTGACCGGCGTGTTGGGGAAGTTGAAGGCAAAGTAGTCCAGGAAGTCAGGTAGGGAGGCGGCTGCACTGTGCACCACTGCCAAGGCATACGAGGCTGCACCTCTGGGTGTCTCAGCAAAGGCCAACTCCAGAAACTCCTGTGAAAAGCACTCCATCTCAGCCGGGCTGAGACCAGCGATCTCATCAGCATACGCATGCAGAACTGATCCCCCGCCATTGGCTTGCCTTTCCTCGTGCATGAAGCGTCCGCACCAGGTGCCCGTCTGCAGGCAGGAGCTGCGGATGTAGTGGTCTTGGTGGGAGAGGAAGGGGACGTGTCCGAGCTTGAGGGCACGGAGGTAGGGTTGGTGGTTGTCCACGGTGTCTCTGCTTTCATGCTTCCTGGTGCCTGGCAGAGGCGGGTCAGGGCGAACGGGCAGAGTGAGGTCTGCCCCAAGCCCCACAGTCTGAACCGCTTTGTTGTGCATGAACCGGACCTTTTTGGCACCGTGCTCATCCTCGCGGTGCTTCTTCTTCTTCTTTCTCTTCTTCAGGAGGTATTCCTCCAGTGTCAGAGACTTGACATTCCCGTTGTGGGGCCTTGGCTCTACAGGTGCATAAATAAAGGAAAATGTAGAAGGGGCAGGGTACACAGAGTGGAAGGGAAACACCACATGCGATGATTTTCTAAACAATGCATGATTTCATCATTATGAATCAGCATGCTTCCCACAGTAGCAACATTGTTGTGCAGGAGTTATTAAACGTATTTACTAATTGTCATGCACCTTCAGATTATTTAAAATAATTTTAAAATATAACAGTTGTAAATAATTTATGTTGGTCCCTGGACACACACACATATACACACATATATACACACATATAAACACACACATATACATATACATATACACATATATATATACATATACATACATATACACATATATACACATACATACATACACATACACACACACACATTTATATACACACACACATTTATATACACACACACACACACACATTTATATACACACACACACACACACACACACACATACACACTATATATATATATACACATACATACACACACACACACACACACACACACACACATACATATACATATATACACACATACATACATATACATACATACATACATATACATATATACACACATACATACATACATACATACACACATACATACATATATACACATATATATACATATATACACATATATATACATATATACACACACACATACATACATATATACACATATATATACATATATACACATATATGTATATACACATATATATACATATATACACATATATACATATATACACATATATATACATATATACACATATATGTATATACACATATATATACATATATACACATATATGTATATATACATATATACACATATACACATATATGTATATATGTATATATATATACACATATACATATACATACATACATACATACATACATATATATATATATATATATATATATATACACACACATACATATACATACATATACATATATATACATATACATACATATACATACATATACATATACATACATATACATATATACATACATACATACATATATATATCCCTACCATTTTTTAATAGATAGGCCTGGCCTAACCAACCCATTTTATATATGCATAAAATAAAAAACTCACCCTTCTTTTTCTTGAGTTCCGCGTGTTTCACATTTGCCTCGGTATTCTCCTTCTTCAGCTTCAGGTCTTTATCCCGATGCTTTTCTTTGAAATCCTGGGGCTTGGCCTTGACCACTTTGAGAGGCGTGAACGTGAAGAGCGCAGGTGGCTCAGAGAGCACCGCTTGCTTCTTCTTCTTCTTCTTCTTCTTCCTCTTCTGCAGCTGCTCTGGTGCCTTCCGCGGCTGAGGAGGAGGAGGAGGCGGCGGCAGAGTCGGCTGCAGGTTTTTTGTGCCATTGGTAAGACCGCGGTTGTGGCACGGATGGTGGTGGTGGTGGCTTTGCGGATGGATGTGCGGGACATGTTTATCTGCGCTGAAGTTGTGTGGTTTCGGACTCTGCTGCAGCTGGTGCGGCTGGTAGGTCCGGTGCTCACCGTGCTGGTGGTTGTGATGGTGGTGATGGAGCTTCACTTTCTTCTCTTCTTTCGCAGACTTCTCCCGTTTGTCAGCTGACGGCGACGCGTCCCTTTTCTTCTTCTTCTTCTTCTCTCTGATGAATCTATCAAGCCTGTCCCTCACCTTCTCTTCTTCTACTTTGGCCCGGAGCAAGTCTACTTGAGCTGCCATCTTTGCACGTAGGCTACATTTAAAGGGGCTCGCTAATTCTACTGCGCAGGTGTCCGAAAAATGTGTAGTCCTCCTGCCGTTAGTTTGTAGTTCATTTCCTGCATCGTGTGTCTGTTTGCGCACGCGTAACGCATGGAGCTGTGGATTATGTACTATCAATATTGCGAAGGCTCATGGGAGTTTGAGTATACTGTGCCGACTGCGTGAGACTTCGCACGCACTCACCGCTGCCCAGCTGACGTAATGGTTCACGAGAGGCAGCGCGTCACCGTTTACAGCAGTACGGCATGTTCTCTAACGTGAGGCAGAACATAAACAGCGACATTTTTCATTCGACTTCACAATGAAAAAATGATATATTGGAGGACACAAAAAGTGTCCCATCTTGTTTGATGTACTCTGAAATATCCACATGCATTACTAAAGTGTATTTTGAAGTTAATATGATGGCAATGTTCATATGAAGACCTGGCAATTAAGACAGACAAAAGATTCTCTTAAAATCTGTGGTGGCAGTCAAAGACCTTGAAAAAGTAATGTAACGTCTAATATTTTAGTGGCACACCCACCGATATAAACTGAGGCTAAATTAACTTGTGCATCTTCTAACAGACCTCAACATGCTCCCCTAAATCCACAAACAAACAAAAAATACTCCATGTTTATTCAGTAAACCTTTATTTATCAGTGCATGAACAGAATGCCACGACCAGATTATTACTTTTCACCCATTTTTATATCTTTTACTCTCAGCTCCCTTAAAAAAATAATGAAACGATTTACAGAGGATTTTTTTTTTTTCCGCATGAAGGCAAATATTTATACAGGTGCTGTACAATTTATAAACATTTACAACTACCATGATGTCAAAACTAAAAGACTCTTTTTATATATATATATATGTTGGAGCAATGCAAGGCCACAGTATCATACATGGTAATGTCATGAACAGTAAAATAATACAGTAGCCCATCATGTCAACAATAAAGTGGACAATAAATTAGTAAGTGGTCTCACCGACCGAGAGATGCGCGTGTTACTTCTGTACGTCCTTACACAGGCTGAGGAGGGTATGGTTCAAGCAATGAAGAGTTTATGAATAGCACTTTATGAACCACTAGGTGTCTCTGTACTCCACAGTAGCAACATTTAAACAACACAAATTTTGTCTTCAGAGGAGGAGGGGGGCACAACTGATCCCAATAAATAAAAAAAAAAAAAAAAAAATATATATATATATATATTTTTTTTTTTATTTTTATTTATTATTATTTTTTTTTAATCCGGGCCTTTATTCCCGGTTTGATTAAATTTGATAAACTTCAGAGTAAATTCAAACAGCACCCCCAAAAGAAGCAGTCAAGCCATTTTCACATTGTGCACTGTTTGCAACCACCACAGGGAAGCACATTGGGAAGACTTCCCCTCATTCTGAGGGAGTCTGGCCTAAATTATAACACAGACGTGACAGCCACGATGTTGTTAATGAACAATTAAGCAAACATTTACACATCCCCCCCCCCCCCTCACATTATGGGTCAAGTCTTAAATTAAAATAAGCAAAGATATATTTGGAGGTTAAGAGAAACAATATGTTTTTGTGCCTATATTTGTGATAAAAATACGATATCTCTTATAAGTTGAAGGCAGACTTGCCACTTCTTACAATCAAGCTCTGGTAACTCAACTCATCTAAATTATGGGTCAATATGTGAAATCACTTTGTTAAATAATATTTGTTTCAGATTAAGTATTGTCAACGCTACAGCGATATCTAAAACACACAGGTCTACCAGTCAGCTTGTATACCTACGCACAGAGCCGGAGGACCGAAAATACAGAGCTGCTAACAGTAGACGACATTATGAATCCGGCTCGTGTGACCGCTTACAGACAGTCTCAGAAGTAGAATGTATAGATCTCATAGTGTTGTTATTTCAGACGGTGATACCTATCTGCACATTCTATTTCTACCATTAAGTCCACATCAAAGGTGAAATGACTCAGCATGGATGCGTGTACTAATTGTTTTTGTGTACATATAATTTGAATAAATTACATTACGCTGCATTATTAACACACATGTAACAAACATTAGAACTATAACCACAAGTATCTGGTCTGCTGATTGATGCATAAAAAGCTCCGGGGTAGTCTGTCCACCCTCCGATAAGCTAACGGGATCAGAGAGTCTTGTCGTGTGCAGGAATAGTCACCCAAACAGTCCACAACTCTAGTCAGGCTCTCAGACACAGCAGGAGACACTCTGTCACCCTTTGCAGCCGATTTTAAGAGAAGCTCAACCGTCTCACTTTCTACTACATCCAATAGTGACAGCGAACAGTGAATCAATCTTGCCAGGGAGAAAAGCTAAGTCACTGCATGAATAAGTCTTAAACCTTTAAAGACAAAAAAAAAAAAAGAGAAGAGCAGGATCCTTCATCGAGGCGGGTAGCCAGGGAGAGCAGTCTCTCTCTCATAACCCACCAAACAGTCTCACAGTGAGTGCAATACAGAGCAGCTTCTTTCGAACCGGAGTCTCTGATTGGCACAAAATAGACTTCAGTGTCGCATTCAAAAATCTCACTCAGAACCAACCTGTTTCACGCATGTCCGCACATCATCGTGCGGTACAAATACTCAGGAAGGTGCAAGCATGCACGTCAGATCAGACATCAGCAGCTTGATGCGAACTGACCGACCGAGGCAAACTGGGTGAAAAAAAAAATATATATATATATATGTATATAAGCAATGAGAAAGCTATGTTGCTGGTTACACAGTGATCTGCTTTGTCCGAGATTGCTAAAACCAAAAAAAAATCCTTCCATTCTTAATGTCCATCGTTCAGGGGCTCAGCTCTTTTCTTCATATATTCGCAGAGTCGTCGTTGTCAGATATCAGACATCTGCGTAGGTTGTGTCCACCTGGGACTGGATCTTGGCAGAACTGGGAACTTTCCATGGACCAGGGGTGATGGGAGCCTTCTTGCTGGTAGTGGTCCCGTTGCAGCTGGGGTCCTGGATGCTACTGTTTGAACCTCTGGGATCCTTTCTATTCACTTCTTCAGTTGGCCCATGGTGCTTGCTTTCCCGAGATTCCTTATCCCCCTTCTCTCTTCTACTCTTCCGGTTCAGGGTGCCACCATCGGCATCCGACCCGACCCTCTCCCTATGCATTTGGGAATGGGATTTTTGTGCCGCTGCCTCTTGCTCAGGCCTTTTGCTCTTCTTGTGGCGCTCACTGGTCCCGTAGCTTTTGTCTCCACTCTCTGTAGCCACCTTCTCCTGCCAGTGGGCCGCATCCTCCTCCTTGTACCTCCGGTCCTTCCCTTCTCCAGAGGCAATGCTGGGTTGTTGGCCCGCTGGACGCCGAGGGCTCTGGGGCTCTTCCAGGTTCTTCATAGGCACAGCAGGGTCATGTTCCCTTTTCGAGCTCTTCCTGGGGCTAGAGGAGTGGTGGTCTCTCTGCCCTTGGGCTTTTCTCTCCTTCCTCACATCCTCCAGGGATCCGCTGTGGGCTCGCTCGGTTTTTCGGGGGCTCTCGGAGCGCTCTTCATGATCTCCCCGGCCATCAGTGGCTCTTTTGGGACTAGCCATCTTGGAGTCACTCCTGCTTGTTTTTCTGGTCTGGGTGCTGGGGCTGGTGGTACGCTTATGGTTGTGTTGAGAGAGCTGTTGTCCTCTTGATCTGTTCGCATGCCTACCGTGCTCCTGCCCAGCGCCAGGGGACCCAGATACCCTGGGATCTCCCGCGGAGAACTCATCAGGGGCGGTTGTTTTGGGTGAAGACGGGGACGGTTCAGAGGTAGAGAGGGAGACAGAGGCCGGAGAGACTGGAGCTGAGTGCCCGTCAGATTCAGAAAGTCTGGGAAAGCTTGAGGTTGGAATAGTTACTTTGTCCTTTGAACCTAAGAAACAAACAATGGCAAGTAAGAACATGTTCTAGCTGAGCAACAATGTATGTACTGCAAGGATCTGCATAAGCTAAAATATCCCTTATATGGGATATTTCGCACTTTTGATAAAAATGTAAGATAATTAAATATGTCATGCAACAGAGGAACAATATCCTTAATTGTGAATAAAAGAGGTCCACCGTGTCCACTTTCTGTAATAACCCTCTGTAATATCTCTCTAAATATTTGCCTTGTTTGAGATATGCATCAGCCGACGACAGCCATCAAAGGAAAAGGTGATAGCTTTCACCCAGCACTGACGTTTCAATTTCCCCCCAAGCTGATAAGAATTGCACAGCTGTGATTGGGATGCGGCAGAAGATTAGAGAGAGAGAGAAAAAAAAAAAAAAGAAGAGCGATGGACTTAGTGGTGCTGAAATGAGATTTTGGATTTCTAGGAGCAACAACTCCTAGAAATTCATTCTAATGTGGTCTTTGGATTGAAAGGTGGATGCCAGTGAATGCACACAGATCCTTTTAACCACTTGCCACTCACTGATCAATATCTAGTTTATCTAGTTAAGGCTTTTTCTCCAACTCTCCATCTCCATTCAGGAGGAGGAGGTGTGTGTGTGTTCAGAGGCATCCCAGCTTTTGCAATACCCTTAAAAAAATAACCTGCAGAGCTCTGAAGCCTCCCAGCGCTCCTGCAGGTCTGTTCGTTCTTCTAGGACTCACTGCTTTGGTTCAGCCCTCCAGGGGAAGAGTAACTCTGCTAACTGATCTATTTCAAATTGATCATGGGGATGAGGGAAGGGACAGAGAACGACACTTACATCTGGGAGATGAATCACGTTTGAAAGGAGAGGTCAAAGGCAAAAGTACAGGGAGTACAAGGTTTACCAAGGTTATTAGGGACAGACCAAGAAAAGCAGTGAGGCCTTTAGTGATGCTCTGGTTTCATGTAGAAGCACAGGGTGGAAGAAGAGTTCTGACCTAAAGGAGGAAAAGATAAATAGGTAGAAATAGACGGCCGTGACAGTGCAGAAAACAGGAGCAGATAAAGATAGAAGTGAGAATGACAGGAGAGAAAAGTCAAGAGAAGCTCGCAACACATGCATGAGAATAAAAAAACTCATCACCCTGCTATCAAGCATATCCATACAAAAAGCATCTTAATACGTATGGTCAATGTGCTATCGTGTGGATCTATACGCAGCGGTAACAATGTGTGTGCGTGCATGTGGCCGTCAGCAGTCACTCACTGTGATCCGGGACCAAGCCCTGGCCAGGTCGAAGCAGCAGATGCACTTTACTGCCGCCTGCTTGGATCAGCTCTATTGCCCGAGTGTGCGTGATGCCCTGGGTGGCCTCGCCGTTGATCTCCACGATCTGATCTCCAACCTGTGGTGCAGATATAATCCGTGCTTACTGTATATGTTACAAGCAAAGGGTCTTTCAGAATTTTCTAAACAAGAGTAAGTGCATTTTCTGTTCTTTTTCAAGTGAGACCAGAGGTTTTTAAACTCAATAGGAAGTTACTTACCCCCGCACATTGCAACATTAACTGCCTGTCTACATACTCCAAAGCACCCAAATTATGGGCGCTGTAGCTCCAAAATTTAGAGCATGATAATCCCGCAGACAGAAATAAAACAAAAATAAGAAGTGAACTTTGGATGCAGTCGTCGTTGTATGGAGAGCGCACACAGGGTAAGAACTATCGATTTAATTTAAAATGCAATAGTGCAAAGTATTATTACCCAGTTTATATAAAAAGAAACTCACATGTATCCTGCCATCGTTAAGAGCAGGTCCGTCCTCAGCCAGTCGCAGGATAAACAGGCCCATGTTATACTCTTTCCCTCCTCTCAGACTGAAGCCGAAGCCCCGCTGGCTGCGGTCCAGCTCCACTACAAAGCAGCCCTGTAGTTCACAGACAAGGACATGAGCTTTTTGAGACTGGGACATTTCTTGACAGACATGAGATAAAGGTTGCACGCTGTCGTCACACCTGGAAAATATCACTGGTTGATATATATTTTACTCCGATGACCTAAAAGGACAGTCCTCAAATTAAGAATTGATTAAGATCGATTGGCACCAGAGCAGAATGAGTAAATTACTGTAAAATTGAGAAACATCCAATAATTCTGGCTATAGTCTTACCTGCTTAGAGCCTGACATGATGAGTGTTCCCATCTCGCTTGGCGGGAAAGAGTTCCTCACCTCAGTATCACCATTTCTACTCAAAAAAAGACCACACACACACACACACACACACACACACATTATAATGTGGCCAACATACTGTGGATATGAAAGTGGTGTTTCATCACAATATGGCATAATATCTCATCTTGAGATGAGAATTGAATTTCAGCAAATACTCATGAAAATGTTTAAAACAGAAAAATAAGGACATATCATTACTGGGAACAATTTCAGCAGCATAATCTTCCACCCGCTTGTATGCGTCATGTTCGCAGTAATGCCTGTGTATGAGCGACCGCACATGAAAAGTATAGATGCTCAATATTGTGAATAACAGGTCTCATTCTCTTCCCATTCAGCTCTGTCCAGTTTTACCCTCACACTGCCACGCCTGTATTACAGCAGCGTGAGCCTCTTTCTGTCGGTGTCATTATACCACGCAGACCTATGTAAATCCTTCAAAGAGCCATGTTGCTTCTACAGGAAGATAACGAGGGCATACTTTAATGCTTTGCAGAACTCATTACAATGCCTCTGTGGGAACTTAGCTGTGCTGACACACTATCGAAAAGAGTCTAGTCCTTAACAGCTCTGGCATGGAGAAGAGTTTACACACTTCATGCAGCCAAGCTGACAGCCCCGGCTCATATCTAGCCTGGGCTGACCCAAGGCACGTTTTGGAGATTAGACGGAGAGAGGAGAGAGGGTGCTGCCCAGGAACGGACAGAGGGCTAAATGAGGAGAAGGGGAACACGTGCTGATAGGCGGCAAAACGGAGCAGCTGAGGGCGAAAAATGATGGTGGGGAATTGCTGCTGCAGCAATGGATTAAAAAGTTTGACACAGGTAATCTGCTTTGAAAAGAAAGATCAAAGAGGAAGTGAGACTCCCTATTAATCTGTCTCTTTTTCTTTGCTTCGCCATCCAAGCAGTGACCACGGGGGCATTCTCTCTCTTTCTGGATAATAAGGCAAGTGAGGGCCACAAGAGATGCTAATGGGCCACATTGTAGCACAAACCAGAGCCCGCTTTGAGAGGATTGGGTCTGATTTATGGGTCAAGTGGCAGAACCTGTATTAGACTGTCTCCAGTGGGATCAGTGTCTGAGAGGGACCCTGGCAAGCTTGTGTGAATGCTTGTACGGGAGCATGTGTGTGTATATTTGTGTACCTGTCTGGATAGCTGGGAGGCTGTTGGCCCATAGCTCTGTGTTGTGCCGAAGGGCTTTGTTTGGCTGAGTTTGTTCCAGATGGAGGAGCACTGTCTGTGAATACACACAACACAACCATTTAATATGACGCGCAGATCTGGTGATCTGCTATTGGATGCCACAAAACAATATCAAAACCTTCTTTTGACTACTTAAATACTCTGATATGCTTTCTGGAAATTCACAGGACTGAGATATTCTCTGTGCCAAACCTACCATCTTCAGGCACAACAGTGAGGGTGACACAGTTGCCGGCGTCTTTGATGAGCTGGACAATGTCGTTGTGCGACAGCTCCATGATGGACAGGCCGTTGACAGCGGAGATACGGTCTCCCACCTTCATCTGACCTATGCGGTCTGTAGGGCTGCCCTCAATAATGCGGCCAATCTTGTGAGGGATAACTGAAACAGGGAAGCACAGAGAAATCACAACCTGTTGCTGTTTTTTTTTTTTAGGTTTGAACAGCACTGATTCAGTAACACCAAATCAAGATATCCCTTTCAAATCACAATCCATTGCAGTCTTTCTGAGGTACTGGGAACCTAAAAACATGGATTGAAGTTGTACAGGATATTATGTGATAATCGGTATAACTTTTTACACATCTAATTCAGTGAATTATGGTCTTACATTTGAAAAAACACGCAGACATAATGGTGAAAAACGAGACTAAAAGACTGCAGCCTCGCTAGCTGTGTGAGGCTATACCTTGACACAGCAGTGCTATGAGCTAAATGCTAACAGCAGCATGCTGACATGCTCACAATGGCAGTGTTCACATTCTGATGTAGCGTGCTAGCATGCTTACATTTGCTAATTAGCACTAAAGCTAACACAATTGTCCACCTTATGATGGCGCTAGAGGAAAAGTCACGGGTTTATACATAGTATGAAACATCAGGGGTTGAACAAAGTCAGAGGGATTCATCCTAGGGAGAACATGAATGTCTATGGGAAACTTCATGGCAATCCATCCAATAGTTCTTGAGATGTTTGCATCCCTAGAGCTAGCACGGCTAAAAGTGTTTATTTTACTACACTTTGTCTGATTTATGGTGTGATAAAGAGAGTTATCCAAAATTCCCACGATAACAAATTGAAACAAGAACTTTGGACCTGGCTTTATCCAGTGTTCAGATATCTGTTCTAGAAATGTAGGCACATTAGCACATATATAAGATAATGCATATTTTCCATATTCAAACATAACATTTCAGAAAACCTGTTGTACAAAAAAATAATTGCCTTCATAGAATTAATCAAATGGGGAAGTTTCCTGGCGATATCCCTATTCACCTGGGTTGTCACCCCATAAATGACCTCATGCTTTTTTATTTATTTGATATAAAGCTATGTTTTTAAAAGTTGTATATAAGATGTTTTTTTCTTGATTTCTGACCTCCAGGTGGGGGCTTGTTCTTTGACGTCAGGATAACAAAGCCAAAGCCCTCGTTGTCTCTGCGTTGCAGAGTGACGTCAAAGCACTCTGGCCGAGAGGACTGAACAGGCTGGACGGCATTCGGAACCTCGACATGCGGCATCTTGGGAGAGCTGTTGACCAGGGCGGATGCTACATACTGGGGCTGCTGAGTGCTCTCCTCCTCTTTGCCATCTGACAAATGACAATGCACAGAAACAGAAGGGGATGCTTACAATCATGCATTTGGAGCAGCTCTTCTAAAATCGTATATCAACACGGAAATGATACTGCTATGTCTATCCATCATTTTTTGAAAGGAGAGGGACAGCCCAGACGGCAAATGACCATTAGTGAGTGTAACCAAGTACATTCACTCACGTACTGTTTTGAGGTATTTGTACTTCATTCAAGTATTTCCATTTCATGCTGCTTTCTACTGCGCTACATCTTAAGAGGCAAAATATTGTGCGTCTTACTTCACTACATTTATTTTAAAGCTTAACTGACTCGTTACTTTGAAAATTTAGATTATTGATAAAAAATCTAAATTACCTGAGGTTTAGCCAGTCTACAGTATATAGAATCATTTAAATAAGCTCCACCATTAAAAGCTGCAACATTACAGTGATGAACACATAAATGCATCAATAATTATAATTCCATAATGTATTTTTGGTCTGTGGTATTGATACTTTTACTCCAAGTAAAAGATCTGAATGCTTCCTCCACCACTGTAATATACATTAAAATGTGTCACTTTCACCAACAGGGCAAACACAAATGTTTATTTTAAGCAGGGGTCATTCTGAAGAAGATTACATACACTTCAAGCCATCAACAATTATTTGTCAAAATGTTCCCAATTTATCATCCTTCAGATCCCTCCAAAAATAATCCAAAGCACAGCGGCTATATTGAAGATAGCCTTTTTGCTGCGTTTATTGCACACATGAAATATAACTGTCAACTCGACACTTGAGATGAAAGCCCTTCACAATTTGTTATTCATAAGACACGCTGATCTACCTTCATCTCTCTCTTCATTGTATATTTGTTTTGCAGCGTCGCTGTTTTGTCAGCCGGCATCAGGGAATCTCTTTCTAAACCCCTGCTTTGAAAGCATAAAGCCTTACATGATTGATGCTTAATTTCTGCAATGTGATCAAAGCTGTTGTTGCAATACATCACATCCAAAGTAATTTCAAAAAGTGCTGGTACTATTCATGGGGTGGTTATTTGTGGGGGTAAACAAGCCTGAATGCAGCAGGGGTTTGTGCTGTTGAAAAAGAGAACACAGCATATTCTATTTTTCATCCTTTGAGATTTAAATCAACTCTACCAGCTGATCTACTCTTCACTGCCCTTCACATGGCTCCTATCAGCCTCGACAGATAAACACAGAGCAAAGACACTTTTGCTGTTTTTTTTGGGTCATTTTTGGTGGATGAAAATACTCCATTCACTTTCCTGTGATTAAAGTAAATACAGAAATCCTTTCAGGAAAAAGTCTGCATAGAATAGCATCCTACAGTAAAAGTCAATATTGACTAAACTTAATTTCTTCACTGTCAAGGAAGTCACCCAGAACAAATTTAAAAGAATTAGTGAAAGAACGATCCCAGATCAAAGCTTTCGCTCAGAGGACCTCCTCCAGCATACTCATCCAAACAAAAAGAGTAAAAACAACAAGCCGTGCTGAAAAAGCTTCGAGTGCCCTCAGAGAAATGTAGAGCTGATTACACAAAAGCAGACCCACCTAAGTTTGTCAGCTTCCTGCGGACTGTGAGCATGACTTGGCCGTTACGGGCAGCGTTGGTCATCAGCTCAAGCACCTGTTTGTGGGATTTGCCCTTGACTGCCACGCCATCTATACAGAGGAGCTCATCCCCTGCTCGCAGGCGCCCGTCCTTCTCGGCTGCACCGAGCGGCACGATGGCACCGATGTACACCTGTGGAGGATATGAGAGAAACAGCTTGACACACTGATCTGAGCCAGAGTGAGCACGAGGATTGACGGGCGTTATGGCAAATGATCAGCTGAAATCCTTTCAGTTGCTTTGAGCATTTGACGTCTTGTGTTCTACTTGCAAAATAGAGGTTTGCTGTATTTTTTTGACAATCCATTTTGTCCTACAGCAATAGCAGTAAGTCTGTCTATTTAACTGAATGCAGCTTTAATATTGATGTGTCTGGACCGCGCTGGGCTGCAACCTACCGGCTGATCCGGCCCCTCGCCTCCGAGGACTCTGAAGCCAAATCCTGACTCCTGGTTTCTTTTGATGAACACATCCAGGTCCTTGGTATTAGGAGCTGCAGAGAGGAGAGGAGAGTAAGTAATGTTTTTTATTCGCCATGAAGACAAAACACACATGAATTATGTAGTTTTTGTATTATGTGTTGCCGGGCATGTGGGCAATGTGTGTATCGTATAATGCAGTGTAAGACTGTAAGGCCACCGACTGAAAGAAATATTTTATTTAAATATCTAAAAGATTATATTATTTTGTAATATATTTCTTAGATAACAGAGAGCTTCAGGAATTCAAAAAAATAATTGCTAGACAAACTAGAGTTACAGCCTCAGTTGTATGCCTCCAACAATCAGGTTGCAGTTTACATCCATCTTGGACGTCTGTCCAAAATATCATCACTCCATCATTTTATCCTATTTGACATTTGTAAGAAATTGCCCTAATTAGTGCATGAGTTATGGCCAAAAATGTATTTTTTGAAGTTTGTCCCTCCAGGTTTTCCTGACATATTGTGTTCACATGAATGGGACAGATGGACATATAACCAGGCCATGGCTGTCACCGGTGAGGAGGCATTATGTTAATAATCATGTTGAATGGTGCGAAGTGCCTGGTCCTCTTTTTTTTTTTTAACAGGGCTCCCGAGCCATGGGGGCTAAAAACCACTTGTGTGTTTCATTGTGTGCACTTACGCTTGCTGTCAGCCAAGGCCCTGGACTTGCTGTAGAGCTCAGACGCGTCCGGTTTGGGTGAAGACGAGCGCACTGTGTTGACAGGGAAAGGGAGCGGGTTGGGGGCCAACTCGGTCGGACCGAGGGCCTCTGTGCTGTTAATTATCTCCTGCTGCTGGGGCGGTGCGATGGGCTGGGAGCATGGATGAGGCATCAGCTGGGGTGCGGGATGGGGAGCCTGTTGAGGCGTAGGCTGGGGTAATCCTTGGGACATGGGAGCTGTGCACTGCAACACAGAGACAAGAGCAGTGATGCAGTGATAGAGAGAAACATAGGTTAACTATTTCAGGTCGATGATTATCATAGCGGAAAACAGACTTTTAAGAACACTGTAAATGTCCTCCTATTCCTATATAATATACCTTATTTATTAACACATAACATCATGCATAAATGGTAAATGAATAGTTAATTAAACAATAGTTATTTTACTGTTAACAAACAATGAAATGATAATGTTAGTTTCTTATTTTACACATTGTAACATTTTGTATACTATATTAAATATGGATTAATTATTAATAATGATTTGTAAACCTTTAAGAAACTATTTGTAAAACAAACATTCAAAAATGGACCAAATATTTGAAACACTTTGTTAATGGTTAATAATTGTACTTAATACATCATATACAGTAGTTTATAAAATGTTTTGTGTGCAACAATAAACTTATAGTTTACTTATGTAATCTGAATTTAATTGATATTGGCTTTTATCAGCCATGATAAAATATAAAATAATTCATATTACACAAACTAATGATGAAATAGCATACATTATAGCATTACTAATAATGCTATATAACATTAACAAATAACAATGAACACAATTTTACTATCAATTTACTATTTAATAATGATGGTTATTATAAAGTTATATGATATATTCTAAATGTAGCTAAAGCAGGAAAATTTGATATAAATATATATATTTTGAAATAGTGCATGCACATGTTGTGATTATGTCTTGAGCCTGTTGCAGCCTCAGCTCCTATTTTAAGAGTGCAGCATGGAGCAGCAGCACAGGAACAAGCTGTTGAACATGGCATATCATCTTAAACACCCATACACAGAGGGATGTTAAGTTGCTGTTTGCCAGGAGCCAGCATATTTACCCACATGCAGCTCCAGAAATAACAGCCTGGCTAATGTGGGCTCACTGAATAATGTAACTAACAGCTTCCACAGCACACACACACACACACACACACACACACACACACCAACACTCACACACACTAAGTGGCTCTTGTGGGTAACCAAGTTAAAACCTTTTTCCTCTGAATAATTCAGCTGCAGTTTTACCATCAGGGTATTCTTTTACGTTTCATCCCACAAAATTGGAGAAAAATTACAAATGGGTGCTTCAACTTACTGGTTTTAGTGATTTCACAGGAGACGTCTGCCCTGTAAGCAGAGAGGGGGAGGGGGATGTTAAATTCTGAATTCAATTCATCAAGCAAACAACAATAAGATCTAGTCAAACATATAGCTTGAAACACTTACTCTGCACCTTGTTTGTTGTCACTTAGTTGAATTAGTAATAGCAGTTAGAGGTTTTATCACAGTTTAAAAACAAAATACTGTGTAGACGGTCTGCTTTCCTCTCTGTCAGTGAGTCTCGGTGTAATTCAACCAGTAGGGGGCAGTACACTCCAATGGTTTACATGTCACTACAGGATGGAGGACACAGAGGTGACCCAAGGGCTAGGCCATGGGAAACATGCTCTTCTCTGGGTTAAACCTGCCAGCTGTTTGCTACTCTACAAGAACGCTGAATACTCTCAGTCTGCAGCTTTTCATAACCAGTTTTTGAATGTCACCAACAGAATTGTATGACATAGTGTGGGTATAGGATAAATACATCTTAAATATTTTTTTTAAATTCCTTTTTAAATATAAAAAATGCGAAAGCACCAACGGTATCTACCTGCTCATATTCATATCACAGCGGAGTTAGGGACTTGTTGAGGGACGTGTTAAATTAGTGGATTATTATCATTATCGTTATCCAATTCAAGGGAAAGTTTACATTGTGTTTTTTTTATATAGCCTGTTTAAAGTGATAATATATGCCAAACAACTAATCAATGCTGATACTGTCTGACAAAGAATAAAGAAGTGATACCGTACATACTTTGAATTCCTTGGATATAGCTGTTTCAAGCAGACTGGATGGCATGCAGCAGATGGTGGAACTCATTACAATCATAGGAGACTTGCAAAAAATGAGCATCTCTGTATCACAGGCACTGAGTGCAGAGCACGTCCCACGGGGAAGACTACTGTGTCTCATTTCCAGATTTAAATCCAGAACCGGGATCAGGGCCAAATAATTTCCTGTTTAATTTCTCTCTGCTGCTGTCACTGGAAGGGAGTTCTAGCCCCTGGCTGGGAGCAAAGCCTAACCTAATCCTGGTTTATGGGTGACTTGAGGGAAGCCCTGCAGCGGTGCTCCTTCTAGTCCTGGAAAGCTGCCCCTTTTTTAAGCAGAATCACACAAACAGGCCCTCTGCACACATTCTGCATTATGCACATGTCATCATTATATACCTATTATATAACCTATCATATATATAGGGCTGGCCTAAATGGGCAAAGTTAATAACGGCTACACACACGCACACAGTCGTGTTCTCATGGGGGAAAAAGCAGCATCTCAAACCTCCCCTCTCTGTCTCTGTGCCTGTCTTTGCACGAGGGGCGGAGTCGTGCTTCACTCTGACACACACACACACACACACACACACACACACACACACACACACACA